AGTGGGGAGCAGAACAGGCAGATCAACAAAGTACACTGCTGAGGGGAGCAGCAGGTGGGTCAGGAGAGGTCTGCCGCGCCATGTGGTCACCTCCTGGGCAGGTGGCTTTAGCTTCTCAGTGCCGTGCTTTAACCTGTTGCATGCACCACCAGGGAGGGCCCAGTAATCCCATTTTATAGAAGAGGACTGAGGTCCAAAGATCAAATCAAGGTCAGAAAATTATCTATTCCCACAGAGCTAGCCTTAATCTCAGCTCTATTTGTCTAAACCTATTATTTCTATGCTGTTCTGATGATACTTGTTTTGAAAACAATCAAAATATGCATGAATAGAGGAAAATATAATCATTTGTATATTTGCCATTTCTAGGACTCTTCATTCCTTTGTTTATTTCTGAGTTACTATCCATTGTAATTTCCTTTCAGATTGAAGAATTTCCTTTGATATTTCTTGTGAGGCAGATCTGGTAGAAGGGATTTCTCTCAGTTTTTGTTTATCTGTAAATGTTTTTAATGTCACTTTCATTTTCAGAAAGATAATTCACCTGAGACAGAATGCCGAGCTGGCCATTTTTTCTTTCAGTATTGTCTCTGGGTATCTTGTTCTTATTCTTTCTCCAATTCCCCTTCCTCCTATTTTTTTTTTTTTTTAAGTTTCTTTCAGAGAAAGTTTTGGGACTACATACTGAGAGAAAGATACAGCGATTAATCACACATATATCTCTTTCCCCATTACAATATTCTCCACCAAAGTGGTAGATCAGTAACAACTGGTGAACCTGTATTGATTCTTAATTGCCTAGTTCCAAACTTTGGAGAACCTGTAGTATTGGAGGAGGGGAGGGAGCAGATGGAATTAAGTAATTTAAGGAGAGCTGTGAGCCAGGACTGTAAATGAAGACCAAGTATTTATCATGAATATATATCTCAGTCATCTGAATGAATAAGGAAATTATGATCCATTATTGAATGATCAAAAATGTTATTTCTTATCACAGCATAATACCCTTTGATTATCACCCCCCTTCCCCCTTCCCCTACCAACCACCATCCTCCTCTCTGCTTCCATGAGTGACTATTTAGGATATCTCAACATCTTGGCTGTTGCTAAAAATGCTGTGTGAACATGGGAATGCAGGTCTTTCTTTGGGATCATGATTTGAATTCATTTAGCTAAGTAACCAGAAGTGAAATTGCTGGATCATATTATAGTTTTATTTTTAATTTTTTTCAGCAACTGTTTTCCATGGTGACTGATCAGTCTACATCCCCATCCACAGTATGCCAGGTTTCTCTTTTCTTCTTTTCTGTACCAACACTTGTTATCTTTGTTTTTTCCATAGGTTATTTTAACACAGTGAGATACTACCTCACTGTGGTTTTGATTTGCATTTTCTTGATGGCTAGTGGTGTTGAGCACCTTTTCACATGGCTGTTCAGTCTCTGTATGTCTTCTTTGGAGAAATGTCTATTCAAGTTCTTGGCCTGGTTTTTGGTCATTCAGTTGTAAAAGTTCCTGATATATTTTAGAAGTTGACCCCTTGCTACATACATGGCTTATAAATATTTTCTCCTATTTCATATGTTGACTTCATTTTTTTCCCCTTTGATATGAAGAAGCTTAATGTACTTTTAGCTTAATGTAATTCCACCCATTTTTAATTTATTATTTATTTTTTTTAAAGATCCACTCTGGATGCTGAATGGAGAATACAGAGGATAAAGGGAAACAAAGATACTATTATAATCTTCTAGGTGAAAAATGATGGCTCAGATCACTGTGGTAGCAGTGGGGATATTAAGAAATTATTCGACTAGGTATATTTTAAAGATGTAAGCAGCAGAACTTACTGAAAGGATTGGATATAAAATGTGAGGGGTGTGTCAATAATGACCTGACTCCTAGGCATTTCGGAAAAATAAAACTGGTATTTGCTCACATAGAAGTGCAGAAGAGGAGGGGAAAATTGGGAGTTTGCTTTTTGGTCATACTATATAGTTGCTACCAAATACCTAAGTGGAGATCTATTAAGCAGGAGTTTGAGTCTGAGTTCAGAAGAGAGATCTGGGTGGGAGGTATGAGGTATACTGATACTCTAGAGATAAAAAGGATACGAAGAAAACAGTCAAAGAAACTTAGAAGGAACAATCAGTGACAATGGTGGAGAAAGGAGGAGGTCTTGGAAGACTGAGCGAAGGAAAGTTTAAGGAAGACTGAGCATGTCAAATGCAGACAGACCTTGTTACCACAATGTAGTCTCCCAATTTGGAGGGGCATCATCTATACCTATATAAACCCTGAATCTAAGTTTGAGGAACCATTTCTGACATCACCTTTATTATCAAATGAAGCTCTGCTGCAGGGCACAGGGTATGGGGCTGTCAGACTCGGCACTTGGAGGAAGGCTTGGAGTGTCAGAAGTACATCATCGTAAACAGCTTTGCCACTGGCCCTGCCAATGCCCTCGTCGGAAGCCCAGTTGCCCTCCTGGGGTGAGCATGGTGAGGGACGGCTGTGGGTGCTGTAAAAGCTGTGCCAAGCAACCAGGGGACATCTGCAATGAAGCCGACCTCTGTGATCCGCACAAAGGGCTGTACTGTGACTACTCAGCGGACCAGCCACGGTACGAGACTGGAGTGTGTGCATGTAAGTGCCTTCTGGATATGTTGGAAAAGGCCAAGTTTAGACAGGACTTGCCCACTAAACCACACTCCAATTGTTATTTTGTAATAATCAGCCCAGTTCAGCTGAATGTGAAGTGAGTTTAGTTTTCATAAATCAGTGGGTCTGGCTCCATCATATTAGATACTATGTGAAGTCAGCAGATATTTACACATACTCAGAAACCTGTTACTTTTATTGCATTGAGATACTCTTTCAGTTCTTCTCAGGGATTTACTTTTAAGGATTAAAACAGGTGAATTTATATAGCCTGATTTCTTAAAATGCAACTTTGTTAATACTGACACAAGTCATCAGAATTCAGAACTTTCTATAATGAAAGAACAATCTTGCTTAAAATATAAGGCTATATACCTAGTGTTCAGGTATAGTGCTTTCATCTCAGCCTTCCTGATTAATCAGCAAGTTATCATACTTTTGACTGCAGTATCATATGTCAAAAAGATGGGGCCACCCTTGGTCCCTCTCAGTTTGATTGGCCTAAATTCTGGAGACTGAGGGAGACCATCAGATCCTATAACACCTTCATGATAATTCTGGAGACCAACTTATTTAGGATAAAATAAAATTTCTAAGGGAAAGTAAAAACTTTTAGCTGGGCAGTCTGGATTCTGCAGAAAAGTCTAAGTGTTTTGGAAGGTAAGTCTCTGCCAGAAGTTTGGTTGTGAGCATGGAAATGGAGCACATCTTTGAATGTGGAAAGCTGTTCAAAGCTAATAAGCTGAACCCGTGTCAGAACTATTGAGAATGGCCTTGATGAAGTTGTTTATCTTCTCTGAACTTCAGTTAGATCATATACTTCTTATAAAGTTGCTAGGAGAATCAAATGAAATCATGACACTAAACTCACTGAGTATAACATGTGATATGCGATAGTCTTGAAAATGTTGGCTATTATTTATAAAAATTCATCAGGGAAAACAACCTATTTGACTCTTGCATGCGGAATACCCCACACACTCAAACAGTGCTGGGAAAAATTGTTTCATTAACCTAAAAAACACTGAGCATCCACTATCAAACCAGGCACTATGGTGTGAGCAGCTGGGGACACAACAGGGAATAAAGATAACAGTCCCCACACTTACAGAGTCAAAGCTTGTTGTGTCAGGCAGCTCTTCCACAGATAATTTTACTTAAAATGTGATTAGGATTTTAACAAAGCATGGCTTTGAGGAGGCAGGGTTGGAGGAGGGGGAAGATCTATAACTAGGGTTAACTATGGCCCCAGGTTCCAATGTGACTCAGTCTGTTTTTGTAAATGACTTTTACTGGAAAACAGACACACCCATTAGTTCCAGATAGTCTACAGCTGCTGTACAAAGCAGAATCCAATAGCTGCAACAGATTCTAAATGTTCTGTAAAGGCCACTATTTAACCTTTACATGGAAAATTTACTGATCCATGATCTAGAACATAGTTCTTAAACTCTTTGGTCCGAAGACCCCCTTTAGCCTTAGAAATTAGTGAGGACCCAAAGAACTTCAGTTATGTCAGTTACCTCTACCAGCATTTAATAGATTAGAAATTTAAAAATATTTACTAATTCTTTAAAGTATGAAACTCATTGCAATTAATAAGGAACAATATATGTTTTTATGAAAATATCTTTTTCCTAAAAAAATGTAGTGAGTAGAGTATAATTATTTCATTCTGTTAAGCTAATGTCTAACTTCACAGAAGACAGCTACATTCTCATATCTTCTTTGGAAATGTTAATTTGGAAAAATGAGTTACATAGATGTTCCAAGTGTTGATTTTTAATTGTGCAATATTTTTTAAAAATCACATGAATACAAATCTCATTAGAAAAGTCTACATATTGGGTAGTTGTAAAGATCTTGTGGCAAATAGAAGTTTTCCAAAATTCTGATGTTTGTTTGAAAGCTTGAATTCTATCAGGGGAAATAAATATTATCAGTTTTTTCCCTTGTAGTGACAGGCTCACTTTGTTGCTTGCTAAGACAATGTCTAAATACCCACATCTGAATCACCGTGGCTTATCTGTCAGTAATTTCTTCAAGTAAAATTCCCACTACAAAAGAACCTTGTTTGATCAACAAGGTGCCAACAGCATAGATGCTTCCCCTCAAGCTAGCTACTGTGCTTTGGTACAATACATATGGAAATGCTCTCTGTATACTTCCTATTTTGTTATACACAAAGTATTAAAAAGACATATATTTGATAATTTCATTTGTTTAAGTCATAAAGACTTTACTTGTCACTATTAAAAAAGTGAAATTTAAACAGATTTTTGGATTGTTGATTCATATCTAACAGCTTGTCCAACTTTAACCATATCTTATTCTCAGTAGCTTTTCCAGAATGGTCATCTTCATCATGAAACTCTGAGTTTTCCCAATTTCAATTTGGACATTTCTTTTTTTTTTTTTTTTGGACATTTCTTTCAGCATTTTTCTTTTCTAACAAAGATGCCGTGGAGCAGATAAACAGACTGGCAAGACTTTTCTACACATTTCCGAAGCTGTGTGAAATTCATTTATTGACCACCTCTTTCAATCATTCTTCTGCCCCTCCAGGTCATGATTTCCATCATATTCTAGATTTGGCAGGCCTATTGGTGCTGCCATGAGAGTTCTTCCAAGTCTGATTATTGCATGTTTTAGTAAAGCCAAAGTAGGACAGATGAAGCAAACAACCATTGGTAGTTTTGATTTCAACATGAACTTCAGTCATGGCCTGGCATATTTTGACCATGGGCACATTTTGTTATTGGTAAGATTTGTACATAAGAAGTTAGTGGGGCAATTTTTTGCCCTGAACATCCTCAGTAATTAGCTTGATTTTCTAAATGCAAATACATTCTGCAGATCACTAGGGGTCACTTCAAAATATGACCCTTGGGGCCATTAGAATGATCTGGTTTTATGAACTCTCATGACCAGTATTTCCCCAATATTTATTATATTTAACAGTGCTGGTGCTTTCACATCTTATCAATCTTAGAGGATGGATCTACTATTTTCTTAGCTTTGTTGGCCATCTTTTGTAAGGTCTTATTTTTGCTGGCTATCATGGTACTGCTCAGAGAGCCAAAAGTGCAAGATTTTATGATTTAATGAGATCAATATTTTATATTGCTTCATAAAGGACATTAAGGAAAAAGGCTAGCTTTAAAAAAAGTATAAGTAGGGCCCTCCTTGGTGGCACAGTGGGTTAAAGCACAACACTAACAAGCTAAAGCCACTTCAGCGTGAGCTCAATCCCCACTCTGGAGGTGACCCACATGGTGTGGCAGACCTCTCCTGGTCCGCCCACTGCTCCTCTCAGCAGTCTACTTCATCAATCTATCTGCTCTGTCTCTGGTGAAACCTATCACAGCCCCTGCACCTCTGGCCTGTATCCCAGTTCTGTATGCATAAATAAATACATCTTTAAAAAAAAAAAGTATAAGTAAATGACAAAGTATAATGACTGGCAACCTAGACAACTGATTCATGCCAAAGTGCCAGCAACAATTTTAGTCATCAATGCTTTTATATGACTAGTGCAAAAAAAGACAATCATCTCTTAGTATTCTGAAAAGGATTTTAATCTTGCAGATTCTTGCTAAGATATCCATGGATTATACTTTGAGAACTGCTGATCCAAAAGGTCAAGAATACTCCTCAAAAGAAAGCAGATTTCTTCAATTCTCTCAACAACAAATAACCAATTACCTAACAGAATTGTAGTTAAATAATGATTTCTTTAGTATTCTGACTTCCTAAGTATTTAATCTCCTAGCCTACTGTTGCATCTCTCTTACCAAGCCATCTTTTATCTCATTGATAGCCTCACAATAATTATTACTTTTACTCCAAAATTACTTGGTTTTAATTCTGGAAGTGACCATTTGGAGCTGATAACCCCCATGGCTCATTTTCACTTGTTTATAGATGTCCTAGAAAGAATTCCAGATGGGGTCAAGAAATTGAGACTATACTTATAAAGGAGAAAGCTTGTCATTGGTCTAGACTGTTCTAGTTACAACTTTCTTGGAATTATTGTGCTCTTCTCTTTTCAGATCTTGTTGCTGTGGGATGTGAGTTCAACAAAGTACATTATCATAATGGTGAAGTGTTTCAGCCTAATCCCCTGTTCCGCTGCCTCTGTGTGAGTGGGGCCATTGGATGCACTCCTCTGTTCCTACCAAAGCTTGCTGACAGTCACTGTGCCGAGGCCAAAGGTGGAAAGAAATCTGATCAATCAAATTGTGGCCGGGGAAAATTACAACAGCAGCTTTCAACAAGCTACAAAACAAGGCCAGGTGCTCATTAAGTAGAGTCACATACGATTTTCGTGGTTTTCTTCCATTTTCCTTTATGTAGCATAGGCACTGAGTACTCGCTGACTGGTGGCCAGTTTGAGAGGGAGTTGGAGTGTGCCAGTGGGCTTTGCCTCGGGCAGGTATAAATGCTAGTATCTGAATAGGGAACTTTATAACATTTTAGACTATTCCAATAAAATATTCTAGTTTTTGAAAGCTATGCAAGGTCAGGAAAACTCTTAAAATTTTAACAACCTCTGCTTTCTCCCACTGAAATCAATTTCTCAGGGAAACTGATTACAAACTGTTCACATTTCCCTGGAAAAACTTTTGTCATACATTGGGTAAGAAATCTGAGCCATTCTGTTCTAAAAGCTTGTAAAGGCAATTATTTCTTACTAATAAAAAACATGTGAGGGCAAGTTTTGAATTTGCAAATATTATTCAAAAAATACCGAACTATGGAACCAAAATAATCCTTTCACTCACTTTGAAATTGAAACTCTACAATCACCAAGCTCTCTCTAAATAAACACAAATGCACACAGGCATTTTAAGTAGACTAGCCAGGTGTGCATGCACTCAGGTGTATGCAATGAAATTTTTTCCACTAATCTTGAGCACCTGGCTCCCTATAATTAGCACCAATTTATTCATGAGTCTCCTATTCAGCTCTGCTCAAAGTTAGCAATTTACTTAAATGCTAGAGACAGTAATCTGAAGAGTTTCCTACACTTTAAATGCTTAGAGGCAGGAGCTGAAAAAAAACATCGGGAAGTAAAAGCATAGGAAAAAATGGGCTCAAAAGGGGCAATACTGTTCTTAGTCACCTGTCTGTATTTTCATCCAGAAATCAAAAATGAATTTTTCTTGAAGGTTAGAGCTTGGTGAATAAAAGCTATCATAGATTATAGAATGTTAATATAAGCTCACTTAATTATGTGGGTATATAGCATATATGTATGTATACTTGATCAGAGAAATGAGTTTTAGATACTTAAAAAACTAACTCAATGAATGAAATATCCCCAGGGACTATTAATTATGTCAGTGAATTTGAAAACAATGCAATAGGTTGTACTGAATTTGCATTTACCATACATAGTTCTTTAACAGTGTGAAACAAATAATGTCCTAAAACTTCTGAAATCATAAGGCAAAAGAGTTATTTTTTCAAAACATACAGGAGCAGTTGGCATTTACCACACATAACTATTCAGCTAAAAGCTTGACATTATGAATGATGGTTTTCTACATTGGATCTGAGTGACTCTTAGTCCCATGCAGGAACCTTCCTAGTGAGATACTTAAGATGAACAATTTTGTACAACTAAAGGCTCTGGATCAAGCTCAGTTTGATTGCATCAATGGAGTTAGAGTAGTTTTAGTGGACTCACTTGGAACTTGGTTGTGAGAGGTGTCAGATGATCATTCTTGGTGGTCAGTGCTTGGCTACAAAAGAAAGTCTCTCCATTATCTCTTTTGAGATTAGGCCTAAATAGGTCTCAAAGGAGGTATACTTTCACTTTAATGTCTCTTTTTTGCTCAACTATGAAACTATACTATGGGTCCAAACAGGAGTTTGGTTTTCAAAGCTAAGCACAGTGACAAACATACACTTAATAGTTATGACCGTAATTTATAAACTTAGTTGACCTGTGGACAGACAACCTGCGGTTGGAATCTAGTTTTTGCTTTGTCAATATGAAGCATGCAATGACATAATGCCCCAAGCTTTTCTCAATGCTCACCAAACACTAAATTTTTACATTATTTAAAAGCTATTCTAGCTTTCTTGCTTTTTAATGAATGTTAAACAAATTTCTGAACTGCAACTCTTGGCTTTGTGGAGTAACTTGTAATGCAATAATCTAACTTACCTTTATTTATTGCAGATGCAAGCCAGGCTTTTAATCTGCTTCCTGCATTGAGGTCTTTAAACTGTTGTCTTCCTTCCAGGTATCTTCATGTTTCTGCTTCCTCTTTTTAGTTCTATGTGCAATTACAAAATCCTCCTGTGATAAGAGTGAAGACATATCAAAGTATTTTATTCAAAGATAGCACATACTTCAAGATAACCGGTATTTCCTACCAAGAATGAAATTTTATTTTATTTTTGCGGGGATGGGGAGTTTTTTAGTTATAATTGAGTATTTTGAATTAAGGTTGCCAGAATTTTGTTATATTCAACTGCAGGCTCAAAACACCTTAGCATTCATTTTGGGATGCATGTTAACTTTAAAGAAATGCTTTGAGAAAATAAACCAATGGGTAGTTAGCTTAAAATGAACCAGGACATGACTGACTCTTGAACAGGACTGAAAGCTCCTAATGGCTTACTAATTGCAATGGGATTATTATGTTCTCCTAATGGCGGTGGGATTATTATGTTCTCCTTATATTACTCATCCTCTTTCCCTCCTATTCCTTTTAAATAGTAGGCAGTAGAGAGGCTCCATTGACTGCTCTTCAGCCTTGTATCCATACAGCCATCCATTCATGCATCCACCTATCCATCCATCCATCCATCCATCCATCTCATGTCTATGAGTAATAAGAGAGGTGGTCAATTATAAAAAGCTCAGTGAATAAAATATATTAAACATTTGTCATGGCATATTATGATTATTTAATTTAGTACAGTATAAGATAGAGAATTTCTTAAAAGACTCAAAGTAAGTTAGGAGGAATGACTGATCTCATTGATAGTCTGATTTTCAAATATAACTTCCATATTTTACATACTTAACATACTATGCCATTTTACATTTAGGCCACATTGTTCCGATTAGTATCTTGAATTCCCTAATCCTACTAACATCCACTTCAATGAAATAATAAACATGAGGCAAAAAAGAGAGAAAATGCAGATATCCATAAGGATGTAAGTTTAAATTAGGTACTAAGAAAATGGCATATGTAGAAAAAAAGAAAATGGGCAAATCTACTTAGCTTTTCAAAGATAAAGTATTTGATTTTTATGAAACTGGACTTCAAAATGTGATCAAAAGACAATATGGCAAGTAGGGAAAAGAGAATGTTGAATTAGACCACAAAACTTTTTCTGAGTTACAGAATATAAAGGTTTAGATCTTTTAGCTATTAACTGAAAAGGATTAAAAAAATTTCTATTTACAAAGTATATAAGCATGCATGCATATGTACTTTCTTCCTTTATTTCAGCTTATAGGAATCTCCCACTTGCTTGGAAAAGAAAATGTCTTGTGCAAGCAACAAAGTGGACTCCTTGCTCCAGAACCTGTGGCATGGGAATATCTAGTAGGGTAACCAATGAAAATAGCAACTGTGAAATGAGAAAAGAGAAAAGACTGTGCTATATTCAACCTTGTGATAGTAGTATATCAAAGACAGTAAAGGTAAAGTTTGATTAGATTTAACTTCATTATAATACAATATGAAGAGACTCCTGAAGAGAGTGTCTGTGTGTGTTTTGAAGGTTTGATTCTTATAAAATCACATCAGTGTAACTACTAAAGTGAAACTATCTCTGAGGAAAGCAGATATTAACCTAACTGCATTTCATGGGGAAATTTTTACCCAGCGGTACTGATTGTTGATTCTAGATACTCTTAGTAGTATGTGTCTTGATCAGCCTGACTTGTGGAGCCCCCCCACACAGGTACATTGCTTTTTAAAGGTAGATTTTTCTCAGATTTTAACTTTTCTAAAAAATAATAATTTATGTAGTGGAATCAAAGCAATGAAAAATGTTTTGGTTATAATGGTCACAGAAACAGACATATCAGAGAAGTTCTTATCTTTTATATATAGCATCAACTTGGAAAGGACATGCTACCAATTCCAAGAAGCTGTGTTTAGAAAGCACACCTGTAAAAAGTATGATAAAGTACTCTGGTTGCTTGGTATAGAGCTGTTCCTTTCTCTAGAATTAGACAAAATAAAGTGGTCTTGAGTAATTTTCAGAAATGCTATAAACCCTTTTGAACCTCAAGTTATTTTCTGATCATATTGAAAAGTTGACAAACTTTAAATGGATTAAGATTTTTTTCATGTATCCATCTACTGTCTGAGCTGTGTTAAGAGAATTTGCTGTCTTAGGTAAACATTTAGTAATACCTGGCCCTTGACATTAAGCTAAAACAGAAATTCTGATTATGGAAGTGATCAAAGGGTAAACAAAAAAATTTTGATGTTTCCTTTAATATGTTGGAGCAAGAATAGGGTGGACAGACCTCTAGTGAGATGTTATTTAGTTTTAGATTTATTTATTTATGCATACAGAACTGGGGTACAGGCCAGAGGTACAGGGACGGTGGGAGGATTCACTAGAGACAGGATGGGGAGCAGAACAGGCAGGCAAAGTACACTGCTGAGGGGAGCAGTGGGCGAGACAGGAGAAGTCTGCTGCGCCATGAGGCCAACTCCCTGGCCAGGGATTGAACTTATGCTGCAGTGGCTGCAGCCAGCTTCTTAGTGCTGTGCCTTAACCCATTGCACTACCAGGGATGACCCCAAGATAAGTTTTTAAAAGTAGAAAACAGTGTCTTAAAGTCACTAAATAGCAACTATTAATGCTTTAGAAATAATATGTTTGTATTTTATTCTACATAGTATGACTTTTTTAAATACTGATAAAGTTTAAAAAATTGCTTTTTAATGTTACTTATCTTTTCAGATCCCCAAAGGAAAAACATGCCAACCTACTTTTCAACTCTTCAAATCTGAAAAATTTGTCTTTTCTGGATGTTCAAGTACTCAGAGTTACAAACCTACTTTCTGCGGAATATGTTTGGATAATAGATGTTGTGTTCCTAATAAGTCTAGAATGATAACCATTCAATTTGATTGCCCAAATGAAGAATCATTTAAATGGAAGATGCTATGGATTATTTCTTGTGTATGCCAGAGAAACTGTAGAGATCCAGAAGATTTATTTTCTGAGCTCCAGATTCTATAAACCAAGCTCCTGGGAGAAGTAATCAGCCAGTGAAGTCATTACATCTAAAAATTAGAATGGTTGTAATGGCAAATTTACCTTTTTGGTTTGAAGCAAAGTATTAATGCCTAGCTATTCTTTGATGATTATATGTAAGGCACTGGAAGCTTTAAAAAAAAAAAAAAAGGTTCTGTTTAAAATACATGAAACCTTAATATTTTACTTACTTTAAAAATATCCTAATATTCTGAATTGGACACTTGGCTCCATCCATCTATTCCTAATAAAATGGAAAAATTACAAAATATATGAGAAAACATTTTATCCTATAAAATAATCTGGAACAGTTTGTTGGAAATGTATTAAAAGGATAATAAAATTTATATTTTGACAACACAGCTAGGCTCCTATCACATGATAATCAATACAGGGTGAACAAGATACTGGATTAATTCCTGAATAGGAACAAGAACAAACTATAATTTACATTCCCTTATCCTGAATATCAATTTAAGATTTCTCCATGGAACCTCTCTAAACATTAATAACTATAACCTAATTTTTTTATACCAATATTATAAAAAAAATTCAACTGTCAAGATACAAAAGACCAAGAGCAGTGCCCTTACATTGAAAATGAAAAAAACAACAACAACAAAAAAAACACAAAAAACCTAAAAATATAATACTAAAGAAAGCATGCAATAGATTATTTTGGCTTGAAAATAAATTGTTCCAAAAAATTACTTCCTTAAATGATTATTCAACCTGTAGATTTGACATTGTAATTACAGATTAGCAATGTCAATTATAGTATCTGGAACACTTTCAGTTTTTCAAGCCTTTTTTTTTTTTTTTTTTAAGATTTATTTGTGCATACAGAACTGGGGTACAGGCCAGAGGCTAGGGGCGGCGAGAGGCTTCACCAGAGACAGAGTGGGGAGCAGAACAGGCAGAACAACCAAGTACACTGCTGAGGGGAGCAGCGGGCGGGTCAGGAGAGGACTGCCACACCATGTGGTCACCTCTGGGGCAGGCGGGAATCAAACTCATGCGGAAGTGGCTTTAGCTTCTCAGTTATGTGCTTTAACCCGCTGCGCCACCAGGGAGGGCCTTTCAAGCCTTTTATTGTGAAGTTTGGAAGAAGACAGCAAGCTTAGTAAGGTACTATTCAGTTATATAAATGGTGACAAACAAAACAATGATAACAAGTAACACTGCTTAAAATATGAACATTTATTATAAAATCAACTGGTTTGATTAAAAAGCATTACATTTAAAAATAAATTAATACATGTTAAAATACATGTAAATTGTGATTTGAGTGTAAATAAATCATCATCCAAAGAAGAAACAAAACTTCCTTAACAAGTCACCTATCCCTGAAGTTAGTGGATAGTACATGGAAATATTTATATTGGTCTCTCTACTCCCAGTATTTGAAGAGTAGCAGAATTTAAACAGAATATGAAAACATAAATTATAAACCAATATAAAAATATATCTGTACAAGATTTTTATTGAAGACATAATTATTATTGTATAAATGCTTAAATATACTATAAATAAAATGTTGAAGAACTCCATTCTTTTAATTTTAGAAAAAGTGACTTTTCTGATGAGAGATGTTTGAAACTGAGGTATTATGACTTCTAATTTCACATACTGATATCTTGGACAAATTGTGATTAAATGGAAAACACTCTGAGACAAAAGTACTTTTTGATAATAAGGTGACCAAAAACATAAAATTAAGAAAAAGTGAAAACTATCTATTATTATAAATATGTTTTCTTTTTACACAGCTATGCTTAGTCTAGGTACACCTTGAACAGGCATGTTTTTGGTGGCATCCAGATGGTTATATTCCTGTATGAGAGCTGATAAAGATGACACAGCTTCTGTAAAACAGCTTTCCTCCATTCCTTCAACTTGTAGATAGTGATGAAGGTGAGCCTATTAAAAAAAAGAGAGAGACAGCATTTCAGGAATTTCAATACATAACTATTCTAATATAAGCATTTTTTTTTAAAAGATTTATTTATTTATTAGTACAGAACTGGGGTACAGGTCAGAGATGCAGAGGGTGAGAGGATTCACCAGAGACAGAGTGGGGTGCAGAACAGGCAGATCCACGAAGTACACTGCTGAGGGGAGCAGTGGGCGGGTCAGGAGAGGTCTGCCTCGCCATGTGGTCACCTTCGGGGCAGGCGGGAATCGAACTCATGCGGAAGTGGCTTTAGCTTCTTAGTGCTGTGCTTTAACCCGCCGCGCCACCAGGGAGGGCCCAACATTTTTATTAAAGTGATAATTCTTTGTAACACTGAGTATTTTGTCTAAAAATATAAACTCATGAGACTTCTTAGTGTAACAACAGTCTAAGTCTGTCATGTTATAAGTACAACGAATATAGTGGACAAGATTATTTCTGTTTTTAAAGATTTACTTTACTTATTTATGCATAAAAGAACTGGGTTCTAGGCCAGAGGTGCAGAGAGGTGAGAAGATTCATCAGACACACAGTAGGGAGCAGAATAGGCAGATCTAAAGAAAAACACTGCTGAGGGGAGCAGCAGACAGGAGAGGTCCTCTGCACCACGTGGGTAGCCCCTGGCCAGGCGTGGAACTCATGCTGCAGTGGCTGATGGTAGTTTGATAGCACTAAGACTTTAACCCTTTGTATCACGAGGGAGGCCTAACATTGTAATTCTTGAGAATACATTTTCAATAGCAAAGTAAGCAGTCAGTCTGGTACTAATACTTACCTTTTTCTTATAAAGCCTCATGAATCTCTCTCTCAGTTCCATGAAGGTAGGCTTCACACATGTGTTATTTGCTAAAGCTAATAATGAATGAGAATGGCCTACAGGAGGAACAGAACACAGGCTAGTCTTCCAGCCTTCTTGATTCCAGGAGACAAACTGTAGAGAAGGTTTTAATCTGAAATACAAAAACTCAAAGAGTTAAGGTATTAAATACGTCTCCCATATTATGGTAACCCACATTAGTTAAATGAGGACTTTACTGATGGTACCATTCTAATTGCTTACTTTATAATGTAACAGATCTGTTTTTTAACTCTTAGCAGTACTAGGGCATGTTTTGACAGTGAATTCTAACATTGAAGGAACAGATTCAAAAGCTAGAAACACATTTAGATATCTGGGGATGAGAAAAAACAGACTGTTATTCTTTTCCTTTCTTTGTAATTCAGTAGAGCAGTTTTTCTAAAAATAGATTATCAATAAATAGTAAAATAAACTCAGTAGTGTAGTGGGAATAATGGTGGTAGCAATAAATAGTAATAAAGTAAAACATCTCATGTATCCCTTAATATTCATGAATAACAACTTTATACTACTATTATTATTTTACATTTGAGGAAATTAAGGCTCTAAGAGGTAATGTTGCACGTTCAAGGTCACACTCATTAAGTGACAATGCTAGAATTTGAAGAAAGGCAGTCTTACCTACTATTCTACACTGTCCAAAGTGGTACACATAAAAAATATCTTGTCCAAAGTGGTACACATAATAAATTATCTTGAAAATATAAAATCAAACCTTTCAATATTTCTGCGAAGATCTGAAATCTGTACATTTCCTCTAACCATCAAGGCACAGGCAAGATAGAGATTATGCTTGGGATCGGCCCGAATGAGTTGGTAATCTTTACTAAAGGCATCTGAAAACATCTGATCTAACCTAGAACAATGGAAGAGTCACTGTTTATACTAGAAAAACACTGTATGTTTATACTATGTATAACTTGTAAGTCAAAAGATAGTCCTTTCTAGATAAATCACACAAATATCTTCTAATATCAGATTTCATAATCCCAGATAAGCTTGATGAAAAATGAGAGGAATGAAATATATACCTATTTTTGTTTTTTAGAGTAAAAAGCTTCTGCAATAAGCTGGTGATTTCAAATAGCTATCAAATATCAGCTACAGTATTTGTGAGCTGGCTACTGAAGCGTAAGTCATTATTGCTTAGTTTGCTATGCTTACCTACTTCATAATATCAGACCTAACACAACTAAAACTATATATTATGATGATTACTACGTTTCTCTAAGACATACTATAAAAAATCTATCAAAGACAATGTTAGGCTCTCTTATAAAACTCTGTGATAGTATTCCTGAAAAGGAAGTCTTTTACTGAGAGAGTTAACTTTTTTAAAATCTTTTAATCTTTCCATTACAGGAAGGAAGATAAAAGTAACTGACCAGGTTTTATCAACAATATATTCACCTTGGCCCCTAAGAGGGTCTTAAATCTCACATATGTATACTGTGGGGAACAGCTACAGAAACCACAATATGCTACCTATTGTGACAAGAATTTTAAAGCATACACTTATTTATTATACCCCACAAGTCTGTAGAGTATATCTACAGATATATCTAGAGATAAGCTGTATTTATTTTATAAATAAGCTACAGGGAATTTAAGTCACCTGCTCAAGGTCCTACGGTTTGTCAGACTTAAAAAGCTTTTCAATGAAAATTATATCTTTGTTAATTTAAGCCTAAACATTTAGTTATTACATTTGATAGATTAATACTAACATTTCTAAAAACAGTAATTTCGAAACAAAGCATTCATATAATAGAAAACAGTGTATAGTTGTATCTTACACACTTCTCACAAAGGAAATGATATGAAGAACTTTTCTTTTAAAAGTAATTCAAGTTCTCAGGATATTAGAATACAGTTACCACATTATACCTTCGAGGAGGAATGCTAACATCTGTCAGTGTATACAGAGGTGTTAGGCTTGATACCAGATAATGAAGTTGAGGAAAAGGAACTAAATTCATGCTGATTTCATTAAGGTCCATATTAAGTGATCCTTCAAACCTTGATGAGCTAAAAAAAAAAATTAAAAGAGCAGGAAAATTAATTTTTAAATTATATCATTTGTAGCAGGTATTTTCTTAAACCTTGCATACTGCTCTTTAGTAGAGTATATGCTTAGCAACAGTGAAATTTAGTAGCATCAACACCATGTGTAATCAAACTAAAACAGAAGACACATTTATAGCAATTCTTATTTTTGGGTACTTTTATCTGAAGAGCAACTAAAATACTATTATACTTCCTCATTACACATATAAAAATATCTTACTTAAAACAGACTTTGTATTAAGTATATATAGATTAATGATTTTATTTTTTAATAAAACATACTAAATTCCTCAAGAGTCTGCTTAATATGTTCTATAATTTGGAATACAACAATAGCAAAAACAATCTTTTAGCACAAAGTCAAGGAAATGTTTGGAACAGGTACAGATTAGCTGGTTTAAAAGATGGACACATTCCATAACATAAAATGTATTTTTGCCTAACAAAGTGGTTTTCAAGAGTATTTACCACAAAATCTCTTATCATTTAAAACCTATTAATATTCCCCGGGATGTACTTGGGCAAAATGGTGCTTTGGAGTGATAGAAGTGAAAATTCTAGACTATAACATAAGTCCAAAAACATAAGTCAAAATAAGCTAAAAACAAAAGATTGACTATAAAAATGCTATCACAAAAATGCTAATGAAAACCATATCTAAGTGTATGATGCTGTTAAACTGCCATCAGGTAGACTATCACTAGGCTTACCTTGTTAGGTTGAGCAGCAAATTTGCCACGATGTTGTTCATTGCATCAAAGGGCTTCTCCTGCCCCCTTTTAAGCACCCCAGCACTTGAAGTAACCACACTCTTTGGCTTTATAGTTGTACCTAACTTTCCAGAATTCACCATGAGGTCAATTTTGCTAACGATGTCAAATAAAGACTTTTAAGGAAAAAATATTGGGAGAGAAGCTAGTAAGTGTGAGCATAGCTGATATTTTAGCAGGAATGAAAGAACAGAAAGAAAAACAATTTAAACTTTTTTTCTCTCTTAAATGGGAAGGCTATATTAGAAGACTCAGATAAACACATAAGTGTATAGAACTAAATGTATATGAAATATGTGCATAAATTAAATATCTTTTCTTACTTGGTTATCAATGGGCAACACACAGTCTGCGTGTTCATTAAGTTCCTTCATTGCCAACATGCTATTATAAGGTGAGGTTATGACATCATCCTCACTAGAGGGATACACTGAAGTCACAAATCTGTATACTTCTGGGAATTCATCTTCAAGCACCTTTAAAAGAAATGTTCCAAGCCCAGAGCCTGTTCCTAAGGATTAAAATATAAAGAGAAAATAGCATAAATGACTCAAAATATAATTGTAAGGAAGTTAGAGTTTATTTATCTCTGACCACAAGGTTGGAGACACTTTCTGTGACATTTACTATTTTGATCTTTAAGTTATATGCATATGATAGCAAAAGAACAAAGTGAAAAGTTTAACTAAGATGGTATTTACTGGCCCTCCCTGGTGGCGCAGCGGGTTAAAGCACAGCACTGAGAATCTAAAGCCGCTTCCTCATGTGTTTGATTCCCGCCTGCCCTGGAGGGGACCACATGGTGTGGCAGACCTCTCCTGACCCTCCCGCTGCTCCCCTCAGCAGTGTACTTCGTCCATCTGCCTGTTCTGCTTCCCACTCTGTCTCTGGTGAAGCCTCTCACCGCCCCTGAGCCTCTGGCCTGTACCCCAATTCTGTATGCACAAATAAATAAATCTTTAAAAAAAAAAAAAGATGGTATTTACTTTACACCTGATGTTAAGCACTTCAAATAAACATCTTTGATATGGTAAATATGAAATTTTATATGAAGAAGAACAGTATTCATGACATCAAGCAACTTCAACAGAGTTAAAATTGTTTAAAATAAAGCATGCATACATTGAATTTACAAACTTTCAAACATAAAACATCTATCAATGAAAAACTGGTTTTAAAAAATTCACTCATCCAAATGAATGAATTTTATGAGACAACTGATACTGAAAGACATTTTGTAAAGATACGAAGTAGTAAAAAGATAAAATAACATGTATTGCAATATTTCATTTATAGGCCTAGAAAATATCTGGTAGAGTAGACATAAAAAAATCCCAAATCCCTGATGACTTGATTACTTGTGAAGAGAGAGACTTAACTAGGGAGGCCCTTTTAACTTTCAGTATTTAAATGATTTTTGCCATTTCCAGTTCATTATGAACAAAGTATATTCTTCAATGCTTAACAGATTTAAAAAAAATACATAATGAACTATAAATCAAAATGTTTTCTTTTGAAAACTTACTCAAAACTTATACTAGTGGAAAACTTACATCTGAATTTAGGGATTATGATCTTCTAAAGGCCTGGTTACACAGAAATTGTTAACTTTAATTTTAAAATATTATACTTAATTATATATATGTAATATAGTCAATTGTATATAACCTGTTGAATATAAAATCTTAATTCCAGAGCTTTGAGAAAAAAAAATTGCCCACTTTGTTTTGAAATTAATAAATTATCAACTGTTTCCAGTTAATGGAACAGGGATGCAAATACTTCACTTGCAAGGTATAGGCTTCCTTGAGCACAAAAAGCAATGCAGATCAATTATTCTATTCTAGGTCAAGGTGATTCATTATCATGTAAGGAGTGATTTAACGGAGCTGACTAAAGAATTTATTTTACTTTTTTCTCTTACCTGAGACGAAGAAAGGTTTGCAAGTGGTTCAGGAAAAGACACTTATATGTGAACATGGCAGAAACACTTAGCCTTAGTTAGCGTACAGAGTGCACAGGTAAACTCTTTAAGAGTCAGCACACCCAAAAAGTTCATATACACTGAAAAGTAACTGGAAATTGTAGAAACTGAAACTAATGTACAAGATACATATAGTCATATCAGATTTTACTGAGTTTTAAAAGAATTGAAATAAAAATTGGGTAGTGACACATTTGACAAAAATTTAACATCAAAATCTGTTAGCTACATTCATAAGCACGTATACATCCTTAACAATTTTATCTTTACTATGTGTAGAACTGAAAACAAGACTTGTGTTTGTAAAATGAATTCCCACTCACACTATCATAATGTGACAGGCACATGAGTATATAACTTTACCTCCTCCCATGGAATGTATTATAAAAAAGCACTGCAAACAATCACAGTGCTCCGCCGACTTCCTGACTTTCTCTAAAATCTGTTCTTGATAAAGACTGCCAAAAATCTTGTGACCCACAGCCCTGAAAATAAAAAAACAAATTAAAATATTTTTGTATTTTTTTATTTTATTATGTCTATAAATAAAAAGATCTTTGAAAATCTTGAAATTTTTTTTACTATTTAAGTAAATTCTTGTTTCATATCAATATAAGAGAAATTTAACAAACACTATATACTTATAGTCCTCAAATTCCCTGATAAGATAGCTTTATTATTAGTGGATATTATAGTTTTCTAAACATCCTCTCGTTTTTCTCTTAAGGTATAATTGAACAAACTCAGATTTTAGATATCTCATATTTTCTTTCTCATTCTCCTTAATGTAAATTGTGACTGTAGTGAATTTTACATATTAACAAGACTAGGCTCAACTAGAAAGACATTAAAAAGTAAAATTTTAAATTAATCTGCTTTGAAGAATGAGAAAAACGCTGGTTACATCATGATATTACTACATGAAATGGCACATGGTAGAAAACATAGTCGAGGTTCTGCAAGCCTTTTTGACTGCCCAAATTTGTAAGTTTCACTATTCTGAATTAAAAAATTATGAATGCTGGGCCCTCCCTGGTGGCCAGCATGTTAAAGCACAGCACTAAGAAGCTAAAGTCATTTCAGTCGATCCCCAGCCCCGGAGGTGATCCACATTGTGTGGCAGATCTCTCCTGACCCGCCCATTGCTCCCCTTAGCAGTGTACTTCATCAGTCAACCTGTTCTTCTCCCCACTCTGTCTCTGGTGAATCTTCTCACGGCTCATGCACCTCTGGCTTGTATCCCAGTTCTATATGCATAAATAAATAAATCTTAAAAAAAAATATGAATGATACCCCCACAATATTCAATCAGATGTAACTTAATAGTTACAGAATAAGTTACAAAACAATTACAGAAAGACCACTTTGGTGAAGAGTTGGGCTTACTTATTAAGTGACTGATTCTCCCTAACTAAGTCTCCCAGAACAAAAGATTCAAATTCACGCTTCAGTAAAATTATATATCCTAACACAGTAGCAACCTGAGGGACTAGCTACTAACTATTTACAAATCACAAGGACAGATCTAATTTTTAAAGAAGTCTTAATGAAAAATTTTAATCATTGTTGGAGCTTTCTCCTCACTAAAAGAAATAATTATATATTTAAGGGTCAAACAAAGCACTGGGCTGCACCTGAATCCTGAAACACTGGCCTGGCTTGCATCTCTACATCCATTCTATGTAATATAACCAAATGAGGAACTTGATAACATTGAATAATACATATCAGAAAATTGCTTATAAAGACACTTAAAACTTTCAGAAAACAGTTTATAAAGATGCTTGAAATTTAGGTGGTAGTATATAAGATTCAATTTACAAAGAGAAACTTAGTGAATCAATTTTTCATGATTCACTTTTCTCTTTAAAATGGAAAAATGGATACAGGAGGCTTCCAAGCATCATGAACAACTATTATTTATCAAGGAAAAGATGATGGGCTGAAAGGTCTAGAATTAGGTATGGCAGTTAACATCTTCCATGTTGGCAGAATCTATTAGAATGAGAGAAAGACTGTTCATTTCTTTAAGATGATATTCAATTTTTACATTTAGCATATTCTCACCAATTATTCCCTGAGCCAGAAATATCAGTGATGAGTTGCTTGTGATCAAACACATCTCTCAATGGACCCTGCAGAATTTCATTTACTACCCCTTCCTCCATGTCAATCAAGACAGCCTGAGAAAGAGAAAAAATTCAATCAGCATATTTTTCCTTAGAGTCAGTGGAAAGAATTATGTGCTCAAAGTTGTATTTTTTTTTTTAGTTTAATCCAACCTTTCTTTGTGGAGAAATGGTTAAGAATAAAAAAAATCTCACTCTAAAGGTAGACTGCAATTAAAAGATAGATTCCTGGGCCCTCCCTGGAGGCGCAGTGGGAGACACAGTGGGTTAAAGCACAGCACTGAGAATCTAAAGCCACTTCCACATGAGTTCGATTCCTGTCTGCCCCGGAGGTGACCACATAGTGTGGCAGATCTTTCCTGCTTTCCTGACCCACCCGCTGCTCCCCTCAGCAGTGTACTTCGTCGATCTGCCTGTTCTGTTCCCCACTCTGTCTCTCTGGTGAAGCCTCTCTCCGCCCCTGAGCCTCTGGCCTGTACCCCAGCTCTGTATGCACAAATAAATAAAAATAAATCTTTAAAAAAATACAGTGTTGGCTCTCCCTGGTGGCGCAGCGGGTTAAAGCACTGCACTAAGAAACTAAGCCACTTCCGCATGAGTTCGATTCC